GAATATGTTTGATAATGCTTGGTTTATTCGCCTATGATGAGGGTTTCTCTGAGGCTTGTGATGTTGGATAATTTTGTTTAGGCTTTGAGCTGGGCAGGTTTGAGTCTTGACAGGGTTTTCTTTTGGAATGGTGAGGCCTAGCAGGTTTTATGCTTGGGTTGTTCAGGCAGGTATTGGCATATGCAGTTTATCTGGTTTTAAGCTTGTTTAAGCCTTTAGGTTAGGCCTTGACAGGTTCCACGCTTGTTGGTTTAAGGCGTTTGACAGGTTTATGCTTAGGCAGGTATGATACTTGACAGAGGTTTGTAGGTTGATGGTTAAGGCAGGACAGGGTTTTTGGCTCGAGGCTTAGCAGGTTTGGTCCTAGACAGGCTTTAGCTTGTTTATGCTTTGGTTGTTTTGAGTTTGATGATAGGCAGGTTTAGAGCTTCAGCAGGTTAATGGCCTTTGCAGATTTGCACTTGACAGGCTCAGGTTTATGAGGTTTCACAGGTTTTTTGCTTGTGAAGTTTCACAGGTTTTCAGGCTTGTGTGTTATCTGGTTGTTAAGGCTATGGGATGTGTTTATGGCCTTTGGTTCATGCAGGTTTTGACATTACTGATGGTTATGTGTTTTGTTTGATCACAGGCAGATTTTGGCATATGCAGGTTTTTGTATATGGAGGATTTTGACAGTTGGTTACCTCTGTTTGATATCTTTCTGATCTCCTCCCCTCTACTGTGTTCAGTTCTTTTATATTTTTTTCTTCCTGCCTAAAGCCTTGTAACCTGCTTTCTTTGTTCTCTTCTTCTCTCTCCAGTACAGTCAATATATTTAAAATATGTTTATGCTCTGTACTTTCTGAAAGGGCAACTTGGGAAATGATGAAAATGAGTATGTTGCTTGCATATCATGCTTTCTCTGCATATTTGTCCCTTCTTTTGACAGCTTCTTGTACTTTGTATCTTTTGATATCTTTCCAAATCTTCTTTATTGACAGCTTGGGTATCCTTTTGGATAGTAACTTGTACTTTGACAGTTTTTGGATGGTTTGAAAGTTGTGATTCAGTTTGGACTTTCTGTTTGTATTGAACTATGCATTTTGACAATTTTTGAATTGTGCAATTTTGACTTTTGTGCATTCATTTTTAGCAAATAAACATTCATCCCTCTTTGTGAACCGGGAGAAATCCCGTGATTTGCAGAGAGGGTTAACTGATCCCAATCAGTTGCCCTTAATGATGAATTTTATATCTGTCTCTTTATTTATTTATCTGCTATTGACTTTTCTTTTTTTGTTTTGCAGATGAATAATTAAAATGGAGCACTGGAGCAAGGGATAGCAGATGAAGAAATGAAGATTAGAAAAAATGTTTAGGATAGTTTTATTTAGGTTTAAATTACTTGTAAAATCATTGTTGTAAATAAATTGTAAACAATAATTGTACGAATAATTTAAAAATAAATAAAAGTTTTTATTATCCAATTAATTATTTTTTTCTCCTTTTGTTTATTTATTATTTATAATTCTTTAATTATAATAATTGAAAATAAATTCCAATCATTTAATCTTAGAATAATAAATAATTTAAATAAACAATGCTTTAGTATTTGATCAGTTAAACCTGGCATTTCCAACATCCAAATCAAAACAACAGTTAATCACAACAACTGATCAGATGCATTCCCCTTTTTGCTGATTTAATACCAAACACTGCAAATTCAAACCCAATGTATCCTTTTTACTGATTCAGTCAAACAAACGTGAATTTAATCCAAATGCATTCTTTTACTGATTAAGTCAAACAATGTGAATTCGAACCAAATCTCGGAATAACTTGCAAAGCACCGTAGAATTAAATCCTTCTGAGGAACCGCGCACGAAAACCCTAATTCTGATTAAATGCCAAAGAACATTCGCCTGATCAAAGTTGAGCCAAAAATCAATCAAAACCCTAAGCCAACTGTTTGAAACATTCTAAAGCCCTGAGAATCAGTAAAACCCTAATTGTGTCTGATTGACGAGAAAAGTCCGTTTGGCCGATTCTTGAGCCAGTCTGAAAAATCAGGAAACGCCTGAAGCTGTGATTTCTTGAGGAAAAATGCGAGGGAAAATTTTGGGGTACAACACACGGTAATGCTCCGACCAAATGTAGTTTGTATTTCAGTATGTTGGTTTTGGAGCATTTCGTTCGCCCCGTCCCAATCTCTATAGAAATCACCCTTACTATCACCCAACCATTTCTTCAAGGCCAAATGTGTAAATTTGACTCTGTTAGCTGTTGTATTTTCAGGGTGTCTAACCTGATCGGTCCATGCACAAACAATCTTCTTCTTCACTTGGTCCAGAATAGTACTCAACATATTTCAAGAAATCTAGATATCAGACACACAAGCTCCTAAAATGAACTACAGAGGCAACATACAATTCATTTGTGGATGAATTTAATATATTAGCCCATGTATCCATTATCTTTTCCACCACCACACTAGGTTTGGCCATTCTTTATCCTTGATTTGTTTGGTGCCTACCACGGGTTTTAGTCGACTTCTCACATTTGTTGTAATGTGATATCACCAAAGTAATGTGTAGGATATAAGAAACACCTTTGTAACCAAATTCATTATTATGATGTCTCGATCAGTGATAATTACCTTTGGCATGTTTTCTTGGTTCTTCAACAAAGTCTTGCACACTTCCAAGACCCATGTAACGTTGACCTCCTTTTCGGATTCTAAAAATTCAAATCTCACTGAAAAAGTCTTCTCTGTAGAAGTAACACCAATAATTTCAAGAAGCGGATACCTATACTTGTTGGTCTTGTATGTTGAATCGATAATAAGGAAAGTGAGAAATGTGTTGAACAACTTAATACTTTCAGGAAAAGTCTAAAATATGTCACGAACAATGACTTTATCATCACAAATGATGTACCTAGAAACATAGTGGTTTTCATCCAAAAATTTCAAAAGTTTTTGCATTTCGAATCTTGGACCCCTTATAACCATGTTGTTCCGACGACGCACATTATACACCTATTTGATATTTGAAACATTTTCTGGGTGTTTCTGTTTCAAATCTGCAAGTATGTTTTTCGGCGCCACTCTAATTAAAGACATGTTTGAAACAATTTCCTTCTCCTTCGGTTTAAGTCAACATATGATGCATTACCGACTAGCTTTGTTTGCAAGGCATGATTATGTATTCCAAAAATCACATTAAATTTTCACATCTCATCCATGTTACAATATTCGTGCAATTTAAACGGACAAGCACATTTTTTCGTTTCGGTGTCATCACGTTTCTACTTTTAAATCAGGGGAACATATGTGCCACTTCTCTCGCATCTCATGGTTACAAATGCTTTTCTTCTATCTGAACCATTGTCGGACCTTCCAACTACAACGCCACACCCTGAATTTCTGGCTACCATGCAGACTTATTGAAACATATGTTCCCGAGCAGTAAATAGTTGTTCATTTATGAAATGTTGACCAACATCTATCTCGAAAAGAACATGTTAACATCATCATTCACTTCTTCTGGTTTAACATCATGCTTCACTTCATCTAGTTTAACATTATCCTTCATTACATCATGTTTTACATCGTTGTATACAATAATTTTAGGAAACATATTCGGGTGCATCATCTCTAATAAGAGCCAAAACATGAAAAATGCTTAAAAACCAATAACAAAAGATTTTAGATATACACATCCTAAATGATAGTCAGTGAGTTCGGATATATATATCCAAAAAAGAACGTATATTTTTACATCTCAAACACAAGATTAATGCAAGCAATGATGAATGAAATGAGAGAATTTTACCTTAAACTGCAGCTTATTTTACTCCCTTTGATGTGATAAAATACAAGAAATCTGATTTGGAATCAAAAAGTTGATTGAAAATAATTTCTTTAAGGTTTTTTGGTTATGGAAGGAGTTTGAAGAGTGAGGGAGACGATCATACAAAGTGATCATATATTCAATTTTTCGCTAGAGATTTTTGAAGATACATCTCTGAAAATATCACAGAGTGACTAATAAAAAATCTTCTAAATGAAACGATAGGAAAATGACTTCAGGACTATGTTCAAAGATGTGTCTGCGAATTAACCTTAAGTTTATTCGAAGATACATCTCGAACTAAATTTTGACAAAAAATAATATTTAGTGTGTTTAGAGATGTATCTCCAAATAAACTCAAAAATATTTTAGAATTTTCAGAAGTACACACCAATAAATAAGGGTGTAATGAAAAATTGCCTAAATAAATAGTTTCTTAATTCTCCATTTTTTGGTTTTGGACCACTGCAAGGCCAAACCTAATACAACAACACCATTTGGCGGGAAGTGAAATTCGCGCTCCAACCCTTTCACTCAAGTATAATAAAGCACCTAAGCCTTGTATTTACTCTCTTGCACGTCCGCACTCACATTTACCATTACTATTCATCTTCAACCTACCAATATTTGCATCATCCTCTCCTATCTCCTTTGTTTCCTCCAGCTTTTCTTTATCCTTCATCGTTCTTCTCTTCAACAGGTAACCCTTTTGCAACTTTTTTCTTTAATTCTTTTACGTTCTTTTATGATTTAGTTAGTTTAATATTCACGGTAAAACATAATTCTCAGAGTTTGATCATTAATGTATTTGTTACCCTTTTTGCGTACTAATTTATTTACCAAATTGATATTGTATTATTGATTTCCAATTAGACTTATAACTAATGCATTCCTAACTTTGATTTGTGGAAATTCATGTTCATTAATTGGGTTTGAATTTTTGGCTGTGTTTTGTAATGCTAAAGTTACCCTTGTGTGCTAAACTCACTGTGACGTTGAAATTTATTGATATTCTTGAATCTTGTGAAATACGTAGCTTTCTAAGCCTTAATTGATACATAAGTAGCTTTCAGAATCACATCATTTGGTTTGTAATATGGTATGTGAAATTGTGATTTCTTGGATATCAAGCAGGTGCCCAGATTTCCTATTGTAAGAGATCAAAAGAAGATGAAGGCAAGTGACTCATCATCCAGCATACCTAATTTTGATAGTGACCGGTTTCGCTCTAAGAAGTATGAAGAGTATTACGTGACTACGCATAAACGAGGAATGCTCCTAAGGGTGAAGCCAAATTGGAGGCATCTTAGGGCTCAAATCCAAAAGCTAGATACAGATAAGCAAAAATGGGCTTCTATTCCCCATGAAATGGAAGTCTTACGTCAAAAGTGATATATTGGTAAGAATAGAAGAACTCTTGAGAAATTTGTGGCAAGAGCTCAACCTCAATGCCATGTCGATGAGAAAAAGGACAGCGGAGGAAGTTGCTCAGTTTGTAGACTGGAGACCATTTGGAGGGAATCCTTTATCACTTTAAGAAGGGAGTCAAGAAGATGATATAGAAGAGGAAGATGAAAGTGAAGGGAGTCAAGAAGATGAAGATGAAAGTGAAGAAGATGATGGAGAATATGAAGAAGATGAGATGAAAAAGGTTGTTATTTTCCATAACCAAGAAGCCTACTAAGATTGGCAGAAGTGTATCTCTCATTTATCAAGACTTTTCTCACAAGACTTCTTTGACTCAAGACAAGATTAGGGTTTGGACAGCTCAAGATACCTCATCTTGCACTGATAACCCAAAATTAGGGTTTGAGTTTGCACAAGGATTTTTGGATCACCAATGCTTCATTTGACTTTTATACATCATCTTGGACCCCTAAGATTGCTCATGTTAAGTTTCAAGCCTTAACCACATTTTTGATCAGTCAATTGGACAGTTGCCTAAAAATCAGCTATATTGGGGGAAAAGTCAACCATGGCCAATTTACAGTCAAACTTCATAATTTTTTATCCCCATAAACAATTTAGACTCCTATGTACCATTTGATCAAGTTTTGATCACAACTCCTCAAGAAATTTGATCAAATCATCAAAAGGGCAAAATGGTCAAAATTAGGGTTTTGATTGAGAAAGGGCAATTTCTGATTTTTAACCTAGCCAATGACCAATTGAGTTCAAGCATGATTTCAAGGGTTCAATGGCATCATCTTGACCTAATTACATGGTTCAAAAGATCTCAAGTTCATTGGATTGATAGATGAAATTTGCAGTCAACTGATCAAAAGTCAATTGTATACTGAAAAGTCAAACTTTGACTTTTTCGTCAAAATCAAGTACCAAGAGTCATAATTCATCAAGATATGTCAAAATATAAAACTTGTTCACCAAGAAAACCAAATTTGAAAATTAGGGTTTGAATTTGAAAATTTTCATAGAATTTTTCTAAGTATAAAAATTTTCTTATTTTTTCTCAACTTTTCACCACTTTTTCACCATGATGCATTTTGATTCAAGAAAAGTTCCCAACATTAAAGTTGTAGTCCTCCATGAAATCTACAACTTTTCTTCAAAAACTTTTCCCTAAAGATGTTTGTATCTCAAGTTATGAATTTGTGAATATAGGGCCATGAACTAAATAACTTAGTGAAATTTTGCCCTAATTTAGGCAGGTTTTGGACCCAACTTCATGGAAACTTTTCACCTAGTTCAAAGAGGTATCTCAAATTGCATTTCAAAGATGGATTATAGAGAAAATTGCAAGCTTTCCAAAATGTCTAAGAACTCTCCAATATAATTTTTGAGTAGGGAGAATCGAAGAGAGGAAGTTGGCATTTTCTCACTTTTTGTTCAAGCTATTTTCACGTAGAATCAAATTGAAAACCAAACCTATGCTGATTGTTTCTTGCTTTACAGGTCCTAAGCTTTCTATACACTCCTTAATTAAATGCATACTCAGTTGAAAAATCCTTTATCCTTGCTTTTGAAACTTTACACAAGTTGTAATTCCATTTTGGGCAAAAAGGCTTCATTGCCATTTTCATAAAGATGTACTTTTGCAACTTTGTCAACTTGGAGCATTGGACTTGTCCCCTTGATACAAGCAAACTACACATCTCTCAAGCAATTTGTACAAACTCATATCATCCCTAAAGTAAGCTGGTACAAGCATGTGGGATTGGTCTTGTCAACTTTACTTCAACTACAAGAAAAGTTGCAAAAGGGCTAAAGCTTGCAAAGCTAGTAGGAAGCTGACTTTGGATCACTTCTATACTAATATGCAAACATTGTACAAGGCATTGGACGCTTGGCTTGAACCTAGAACTCTCTCAAACTGAAAAACACTAAAAATTTGTCCAAGCACACAGTTTCTGCAAAAGCTCATCCAACTCTCATTTGGCTCGTGGGTTTTGTGTTTAATTAATTCAAACATCTTATACACTTGATACCTAGTCAATCCAAGCCATCACCCTGCTTCTGTAACCTATGTTTCATCATCTGCCATTTTCAATTTGGAAGCTTGCAGTTGGACTTGGTCAGGGAGTTCCAGCCATCCTCAGAGCAAGATAAGGGTTGGAATAGGTTCAGGCAAGCTCAAGGAAGCTCAAGCAATCATCAGGCCTCCATTAAAGTCCCTACATTGCCATACACGATTCCAGCTGAAGGAGGTATTTTCTTAAACTCTATCTCTTTATACAGGCAACCTCAAGCCACGATTTGTGAAGGAAAAATGTAGTTCTCGTCATAACAAAGTTGTGCATATCCTTACTTTGCATTTATATTACTTGTGCTAAGAGAATTTGAAGCTTGAAATCTCTGAAATTTTTAGGTCACAATTTAGGGATTCCAAAATTCTCTTTGATCTTTGATAGTTAGGTCACATAATTTATATGGTTGGAATCGTGAGCTCAAATGCCACATTTTTCATGTTATGAGTTTTCATTTTTATGCAAGCATGAGGAAGATACAAGTTTGAACTGGAAGCATGAAGAAGAGAACGAAGGAAAGGGATGAAGTCTGGTTCTGGGCTTTTTGGCAGCATGGCCTTTATGTTTTTGCTAAACACACCCCCCTGACTTGCTATTGCACCCCCTGACTAACTATTTTATATTTTTGTATTTTTTTCCATATTTTCATATTTAATACTTTTGTTTATTTTTTTCTGAATGATAAAAAATCTTTAAAATGATTTATTTATTTTCACACTTTTATTTTATTTTTTTATTATTTTCTCACATAAAAAATTGATTTATTTTGATAGAATAGAATTTATTTTCTTAATAAGTTTGTAAATAATCAAATATACTTAATATTTTTATTATACATTTTTATACTCATAAATACTTATTTTTTGTACATATTCAATTTTTAGTATTTAGGCATAATATTATTTTTTATTTTTTATACAAAAAAAATACACAAAATAATAATATAGAACATTATTTTCTTTGAATAAAAACTAGGGTTTAATCCCCTTCCAAAAATAAATATTATTTTTATCTTTTTTTTTTAGGTTTAAATTAAATATTTTTCATACAAAAACAAGACATAAAAAAAATCTTTTCTTTACATACATATTGCATTATATATTAAATATTTATATTATATTTATTTAATTCGCGCAAATTCGATTTGGTTGTAATAATATATTTAGCTTTATATTTGTGCAAATCCCCATTCAAACTTGTATGCCCCCCTCCCATAAAAATTGTTGTAATAGCTTAGTATATTTACATTACGCAATTTATCGCTTTATATACCATGATTAGTAATTAGGGTTTGCATGACAAGAACAAAACAAAGCAAAATAGAAAACCCTAAATACAAGACAAATCAAAAGCATGAAAATGATACACTTTGCACACAAGCACCCTTAGGGTTTCTCCCACTTGGTTGCCTAAAATGAAATGGCCATGTTACGCATGCGAAGTATCTTGGCAAAGCAAAACAAGTATAAGATCATAGTCCCTTGATGACGCTATTCAAAGGTTGCCTAAACAAAAAGATCTCGGTCCCTCAAAAAATGCTAAGATACTTGGAGACATTGCTATCATGGCTATACGATGACCCACGCCCATCCCGTTTACATCCAAAGATAGGGTTGCTTACCAAATCAATGGTAAGTCAACAATGTCAAAGGAATAGAAAATACACGAGAAAGACATTTGAGTAGGTAGATAGCTTCTAAGTTACTTGCTCCATTTCAAACAATCTTTGCTATTTTCAAACATACACACATTTCAAAACATCTTACAAAACATTGAAAACATTTTCAAAAGACAAACATCTTTGTATACATTCTTACGAATGAGAATCATTACAAAGATTGCCTAAACAATAGCCTCTTTTACAAAATACTTTCAAAATCACACCAAACACCATTTCAAACAAAACAAAGCAAGTGATCTAAGCAAGTAACTAAGAGCCCATGGAAAACCATGGATGAAAAGGGTGCTAGCACCTTCCCTTTTCATAATCTACCCCTCGAACTCAAGAAAATATCTCAAAGGTCTTTCCTGTGCTTTTTCACCTTTCCTTTTGGATAAAAGAAAAGTCGGTGGCGACTCTTGCTAACCGCGACATTTGCGATAAAACGCGAAACCTTCAAGTCAGTTCTCCCACCGCATCACAGAACTGGCGACTCTGATGGGGACTTTTATAAAAGTGGGGTTACTTTAGGGTTTAGATCACATTTATTTGCTTACATTGTTTGACTTGTTTGCTTTACATTTTGGTTCTTTGTTTGGGTTTGAATCCTCCACCCGGATTTGGGAAACATTATAGGTAAATAGCAATACGTTGTGGAAACTGTGCGGGGTATACCGACATGGTCTAAGCAATAGCTATATTAGTGTGACATATTTGTGGGTACCGTTAGCCTTTGAGTTAATCAAAGAGAATACGGGGCCGCTGAGTGATGTCATGAAGCACTAATGAACTTCTAGAACCCTTTACTTGACCAACTTGGCCTTTTAGGATGTAGTGAGATGACCGGCTTTGGTGCAGTCCGAAGTTGGTAGATACTCGATACTACACTCATTGAGGGTTGGTTTCTTAGGATATTTCGGTCGTCATTAAAGAGGCTTGAGCTGAAACAATGACCAAGGAAACAATCCAGTGATATTGAGCTCCTTAGAACCCAGTTACTATTGTTAGGACAGGTTGAGCCAACTAAACTTCAAGAGGGTACTTACCTATGAAACCCCATGCAAGCCTAAACTAAGAACTTTCTTGATTTATTTGTATATGCATTCTTGTACATAAACATCATGGACATCATGAACATCATATGCATTCACTAACCATTTCAAGGATTTTGGAGATTCATCTTTGTTCTTGTTTTGTAGGTTATGGATTCACTTCGCAGGAAAACTATCCAAATCAACCTTGTAAGA